TATCAACAGCTGATTGAGAGGTTAGGATAATTGGCTGGCGCATGGGAGAAAAAGAGTGAGTGGAGGTCACATTCGGTACTTCAGCACATTCCTCACTATAGCAAGTCTGCAGCGCCTGGCAACTACCGCGACGCGCTAGGAGCCGTGGCTTGGAAGGCTGTGAACTGACAAGATAAGTTGTTCCCTACGGGAATATTTTGGATTGACTCTGGAAGACTGAGAATCAGGTTTAATGACCCCTCCCTAATGCGTCCTTTATAGCATTCTCATGTATGTAAAATCTGAGAAGACGACGTCATAGTAAACTTTCTTTCGGGTCTATAAACCTGCGCTCATTTTTACTTTGCCTTTAGTTCACCAATAGGGCCGCGCGTTTGTCTGTGGGTGCCCTTACTAATGCTGTGGACAGTGTCATGCGCGGTGACGTTCGAAACGCTATTTGCCTAACTCGGTGAGACCTCTACCATCTGTTTTGCTCTCTTGTAAACTTAGTTTCCAGTCGTTATTAACGTAGTACCATTAAATAGCGTTAACTTATTGCAGGTAGTAGTGTGGGCCTATGATTTTTAGATGTTCATTGCAATTGAGTACTCCGCGTGCTGTGGTACCGTAAGGACGTCCGCACTACTGTCCAGGGTGGGTCAAAAGGCTTTACACATTCCACTCCCTACCGAAAATTCTAAAGGATCATTGCTTTAGATGATGATTCCCTGAAAAGGAAAAAACTGCAATTGCTACTGCATGTTCCCCGGGGAACTTTTCGACCTATGTGATTAATTTCAATTCTGTGTTATCTCTTTAACGTGGAAGTAACTTCTACGCTGAAAAAACGTATAACTGCATTTAAAATCCTGTCTTTATTAACTTTAATAAAATATTTTCAATATGCATAAAAATCGCAAATTGTCATTTCGTGACGCCGAGGTTGCGTCTCTTTCGTTTATACATTTCAGGCACTCTTCGACAGAATATAGTAATTAAAAGAAGTTGCGTTCATTTAAGTTTTTCTCACTGCGCCATACTTTTTAATTGAATGCCTCCTCCTCTGCATTCCCCTAGCCTGAAAATTCGGGTTCGCTTGATTTGGCATCTTACTAGCTGATATTATCATTGCAGTTCAAGGAATTTTGTATATTTTTGCTTCATTATGTTTAGGCCTCCTGGCCATCATGCGATGAATGCTGAAGCCTGTGGATTTTGTGTCTTCAATAACATCGAAATCGCTGCCAAGTTCGCTATCGACCGCACAGAAGCAAATCGGTATTTTTGAGATTGGCTTCACATGCGCCTTCTTAATGAATTCTTTCATTAATATGCCCTACTGATGTACTGGTAGTACACAAGTTGAATATTGTATATTGTTTCGTGTCAGCAGTCTCATTTTTTTCAAGCTCAATTAAATGCGAATTGCATTCTGACAAAACCGAGCAGTTCTTTCGATATTTTTAAATACTTGCATGCTTAAATTGTATCGCATTTGTTTTCCAATCCTTAGCAATACCGTTGATTTAATTTTCCAGAGATCACCAACGTCCTCTGTTGTGTTTAGTAGGTTCTTCAAGTAATATTAAAAAGTAAAATCCTTCGGTGGTTGTCGCAAGCGTGGCAGTTTAACTATATTTTTAAAAGTAATGGCGGCATTCTTGAACTCTTACAGGACCTGATTTTGTCGCCACACCTGAAACTGCTAGTTCAGATTATCCGTTAGTTGGGGGCCGATCTATTTGCAGATCCCGGCCAGAATTGATTAAGCGCCGAGGTGTTTTCCACTACAGATTTGCTTTGTTTCAGGGAGAGCGGATGGCTGAGGCCTGTATGGGTTTTCAGTCCAGGAAGGCTATTGACGGCTTCATTGGATGTTGTAGGTAACAGACTTAAGACACCAAAAAAATGCTTGACCCTGCGCTCCTGAATTTGTGGTCTATCCATGACAGAGCCAGGCTTCTGCGCAGATTCGGCGGGTTAGGAACCATATACTACTGTGATGGATGTGAAAGAAATTTAGCTATCGTTAAATATCTTCAGTCTTGTGATATATTCAAGCGACTTACACCCTTTCGGCCTTTCTGCATCAGACTTCGGCATTGGAAGAGTACGGCTTTATTGTTGTCTGTCTTGTTCTTGGCATTGGTCGTGTGTAGCCTGTCTTTCTCGAACAATAGTGGCCTGATTTCATTATTGCTGTCGTGTGCTGTCTGTCGGCATACAAAACCAAATTCTCCCGTTGCGGCACCATTGATGGCGTCCCGAGGTTTCTTCAATTTTTTCACAACGTCAGCATTCTCTATCAGAACTTGTATTCGTTTCAGTTTGAGGTTTATGCGATTACTGAAATCTAGTCGGCATTCTGATCTATCCACCGTATTAGCATCTGACGCACCCGATGTGTTCTTGACTCGCGATTATCTGTGGGACTACTCGAGTACAATAATAAACTCGTGGTTAATATTAATCGTCCTTAGGATTCTTAGTGACGCGCATCTGAAATGCATTGCCCCATCTCCGTCTGTTTCTGAACACCTTTGTTACTTTTACCTCTGTCGGCCTTTGATCCTGTACTTGGGTCTGGTTAATATCTACGGTCCCCGAGTACAAAATTTGCTTTACAGAAGAAAACTAGATGTAGAAGACAACTCGATCGCTGGGACACTGTGTCCCAGCGATCAAGTTGTCTTCTACTTCTCAATTACTTCCCGGGACTCGCATGTTTACTTGTATTGGCAAAACTAGATGTTATTAGCGTTCATCTGAAAAGGTCAAAAAACTGACTGCCCTTTAACAGTCTACGGGGAGTAGGTTGTTGTCGGATGTATACAAAAGTTAATTCCTCCTCCCTGTCAGACTACCCTTTTCTGCTTCGCATCTCAGCAGGCATACGAAATCTTGTTCGTTTTCTATTTAAAATTGAGGGTCCTTATCGTGGATTGGGATGTTCACCACGGCCAAGCAACCCAGTATGCTTTCTACAACGATAACAAGTAAGTCTGGACTTCGGTTTTACTTGAAGTTTGCTGGTTGAGGTAGATGAAGGCATCTTTGGCGTTGGGCTCGGTGTATTTGCTTAT